TCTCTCTCTCTCTCTCTCTGTATTTATACCAGTTACTCCAAAACCACTCAACTATGGAGGTACATGATTGACTCAACTAACTAAAAAAAAAGAAAACAAAAAACTAGATGCATAAGAGATACCTGAAACTAAATTCATATGGTATGATTTGGAGGTGTGAGAGTGGCACATTCTCAAGGCAGCCAATTGCTTCTTTTCCAAGTTCAGCTGGCAATTGGAGGCACACCCAATCAACCAATGACTCCATGTCCTTTGCAAAATCAAGAAGATACCAATCCAACACCTTTGGTACTCCCACCACCTTCTTCCCCCTCGAAATCCCCACCGCCGCCTCCAAGTACTCTCTCTTTGCTACTTCTAGCTCCCCTTCTATTCCCGGCGCCGTATATACCCTCACCTTGTAAATCGCAAAAAAAACCAACTCAGCCAAAAGTTCAAACTTCTGGTTGTAAGCCCAAGAAAGGTCTTATAATTTGACAGGTTATATGTGGGTGTAAATCTACTTACAGCAGGAGATGACCAACTCCCACAAGAGAGGGCAAAGGTGACGAGTGGTTCAGAGAACTCCAACCCGAACATACTCTGTGCTGCCATCTCATTGTTTTTTATACCCTTCTCTAAGGTCTATATGGACAAGAAATAGGCACATTATAATGTATGCGTGCATTTCTTGATGGAATTCAAAATGAGAAAGGACTTACAAATTTTGAGTGATAAGGCAGTCTCAGGATGAAATGTTCAATAGTTATAGCACTAAGCAAGTGTCCCCCGACATTAATAGTTGCCTTCCAAATAAGAACAAAAATCCATCACTCTAACAGATAAATATGCGAATCGGATAAATATAATTATCATAATGCTTCGATCAGCAATAGAGATGAGTGAATTACCTTTTGCATCAAGGCCACGACCATTTCAGGACCGTCGGGTATTCCATTTTCAAGAAAAGCCTGAAGCAACAAGCACATTGTTTGTGTCACTGCAACCATATACTTTTTTTTCAACTTTTGAAATCATATGTACATGACGACACTCACATTCATCATGCATGAATTATAGATGTTTATCCAAAAGGCCAGCTTCTCCTGGTGTGTGAGGCTCTTAAGTTGTACCGACTCCAGCTTCTCAAGCAAAAGTCTGCAAAATCACATACAAATAAAGATCATGCTACAGTCACACCACAGATGACACTAAGGTTCACACTACCAGTGTTTCACACACTATGATTTCTCCCCGCCAGTCATACAATGACTGTCTGTGTGTGGTTGTCTCTAGTAGTGTCAACCTTGGTGTCAGGTTAAATGTTATCTACAAATAATTTCATTCAAAAGTCTGATGATTCGGATCCTTCTAGAGTGACTCACTTCAGTCGGCGAACTAGGAACACGGATACAGTTGAGCGGTTGGGATTGATAGACGGAGCTTCAACAGGAAATAAATGCTTATACGGGCCAATGTCTCGCGTGTCATAGGTCAAACCGATAGCATATGGGTCTGTAAACTTTGTGGTCATTGAACTGTCTGAAAATTTTGTCATGGTTGAAAGTGAAGATATTGTTTCCATAGAAGTCCTTGTCTTTTTGGAGCTCATTCTGAAGAAGATGTTCAATAAGCATTTCACAATGTTCTCGGATATTTTGTTTGGACTGTCATCTCCGGAAGAAGTCTTCTCTTCTGCACTACTACGATCCACCATTGTTTTACCCTCTTGAGGCAACTTCTGAGGATCTGACCGCTTCTCTGTGGTTCTTTTCCCGACAGATGGAAGTATCTTCAATGATGGCCTGGCAGTTTGAGTTTTTACCTTTGGTGATTTCTGAGTTTGCTTCGTAGAATTGTACGGCTGATCTTCTTTCGCCACACAATCATCTAAAACTCATCAAATGAAGATGAATTATAACTTTGGTACCCTTCCTCAAATCCTAAATTGAAATTTATTATGAAAAAAGACGCGTAAAACTCAATCCCAAATGAGCTGTCAGGTGAAACACTATACGATAAATTTTAATTTGCATGTTCAAAGCAACAAACCCAGTAGAGAGATTGTTTCCAAGAGACGCCCGGCTCATTTACAGGAGTATGAACAAAGAAAATGCTTAGTACATTTACCAATTTGAGGGGAGAGCTTTGTTTGCTTGGATTTGGGTGTTTTGTACAAGTCACATTGCTCGGACGAACTCTCCATGTTTCTCTTGGAGGATGAAATATAAACAGCTTCTTTGTACAGCCCTTGCCTGAACTGAACAACTTGCTCTTCCAGGCGCACAACTTCCTCTTCCAAAACAGCTACCTCTGCTAAAAGCTCCAATGTCTAACGGATTTTGTTTTTGTTTCAAAATCAAAGTTTACTTTGCATTAGAACAATGCACAGATTCAACAACCCCAAAAGATTCATTCGTTTCTAACACAACTGAATCATATGATCAAGCTGAGAGAATGGTAAAATAAATACTAACAGATGAAGGAAGATAAGGAGGCAGACGAGGTAGAGCTCCGAGAGGTCTGGTAAAAGCTCTCTCAAGAGCTCTGTGAACATTCTCTTCATGCCTTAGTTTCTTCTTTAGCTCATCTACCTACAATGGTTTTGTCCCAATATATATAGAGAGAGCTAAACACTAAACAGAGAACATAGAAGATCCAAAACACAAAAGAATCTCATACGTCTTGAAGCAATGCCATTTTTCGCTCTCTGGTAGCTTTTCTTCGATTTGTAGGCATTCTCTTGTTACTACTTTGCACTTCCAATTTTTCCTTCAAGAAAGGAAACATAAGAGATGAAAATGAAGGGGGAAAGAGAAGGCACCCACTGATTATTCTAATAACCATTCTGCAACACAAGGAACTGCATTAAAAATTAACACTTAAATTGAACAAGTCAAAAAGCTTCAATCTTTATTCTTCCTTTTTCTTTTCAATCTCTATTTCTAAAAAGAAGAAGAAGAATCTCAAGTTTCTTGTTACTTTGGCAATTGAATTCCACATCCCATATGTTCAAAGACTCCAACTTTATCCAATTTATAAGAAAAGAATCAACCTTTGGATCCAGCAAACTGAATTAACAAAAACCCAGACCACAAATTACACTCCAGTCTCCAAATGAGTGCTTTAAAATAGTTGAAAGCTTCCGATTGAATAATACAAAAAAGCAAAAAAATAAACCTTTTCAAGCTTCTTCATAGGAGCCTTCATAGGTTGCAGATTGGTCCTGCCTTTAGTATTCATCTTTCTTCAATCCCCAGAGAAAGAAGAAATCAACGAACCCTGACAGACCATCAAAACCCCAAATTGAATCAACCGACAGAATCAAGAACTGCCAGAAATTGTTCAATTTGAATGAATAGATATGAATAACGAAAGCGGGAAAACCAGAGCTGAATCCGAAGAAAGACAAAACACCTGCAAGAGCTTCTCAGCTCATCATCTTCTGCTGCTCTGCATTTCTATGTATCATTACAAGCCCATCCAGTCTTTGTTTTATTAAGAAGAAACATTTAACCATTATCATGGCAACAGCCTTATATATACGAAATGATGCCCAAGATTAATTTTTTCTACCAGTAAAACTTTCTTTTTGAGCTGTGTAAGAATGTATCTACTACAGAGTACGGAGCATATCATATTATCATCTACTCAGTTTATTTTTCTTTCCTACTTTGTGTGCCTCTACAAATTTCTTTTCCATTTTTTACTTTGGTAATTTTTTTAAATAAATGTGTAATTTTAATTTCATTTTTCATCTACACTACGAAGTATTTACTTTACCACATCATATTCAAAGCAACACATGGAAATTCTTTACGTTTTTTAATTTTTCTTAATCTTTGTGCCAAATCAAAATGGAAAAGAAATTTTTAGACGGAGAAAGTACTTTCTAAAATGTGCTTGTGGGTTAAAGGATGACATCAAATCTGAATCTTCTCGCATTTTTACGATCTTACTATTGGAACTTTTGTGAGTGCAACACTAGCATCATGTTAGTGTCAGTGTGTTGCGCATACATTTCGTACCCGCGTAAAGTCTTGGGGTACATAATGAAGTACAAATTTGGGGTACATGTAGAAATTTCCTTTGATTTTTGTGATCAATTTTCATCTCCTTTGAAGGCTAGTAATTCATACGGGGTACTCGGTACATAATAATGTTTTAGAGAGTATAAAAAAGGATGAACTTTAATTTGTCCCCAAGGGCTCCGATCCTTAGGACCGACCATATTGAGTAAGTGAACAAAATTTTGAAAGGTAAACTTTTTATACTAGCCGGCTCACAGCAAAGCGATCCACGCCACCACAGGAAACCGCAACCTCCGGCCTTGTCTTAGGGATTAGTATACCCCGTTTGCCCCTACTCGTTTGGTCATTCCCCTACCTACTAAGGCTGAGACTTTTTTAGAGCGTCGGAACTAGTGATACTTATGAAAATAGATTTTTGCACACCGATTAGTAAATAAATTTAAAATTTTATTTTTTATTATAAACTAATTTATACTCCCTCCGTCCTAAAATTTTCTTCTCATTGCGCAAAACGAAGAAAAGTCCCAAGTTTTGTCAATCTATTTTATTTAAATATTGGTATAGAAATAAAAAAAATAAAACATACATATTTAAAAACTACATCAAAAATTCAACAAAACAAGTGATGACAAAAGTATTTTATTTTATCATATAGGCCATGAAAAAACACAAATAAATATAAATTCCCGTGAAGTTGGAATAGTGCTCTGGGAATAAAATTTTAGGACGGAGGGAGTAATTAAAAGTATTTTAAAGATCACGGTATTTTTCATGTCGTTTGAATATGCAATATTTTAATTTTATGTGATAGTTCCTTCTTGGATTAAGGTTTTTGCATTCTAAAATTTGTACATCAAATTATATTTCACAGGTGTGCAAAGTCATTTTTGTGACAGTGTAATTTTAAGGTGATTGTTCATACATGCAAAAAATGTTAGTACACATTTTTTGTTATATACTCCATCCGTCCCACTCTCTTTGTCCACTTACCTTTTGACACACCATCTAATGCTCTTCTTTAATCCATTTTATCTTGTAATTTGTATATTAAAAAATTATAGAAATTATATATTAATAATCTATATGTTAAGACAAATCAAACTAGATCATACGTGACTATATTTAGGCTTACACATTAAGAGAATTTGATGAGTCAAAGTGCTTAAATAAACAATTCCAAAAGTCAAAAGTGGACAAAGAGAGTGGGACGGAAGTTGTATAAGTGTAACATAGTGGTTTTTTCTTTGATGCAAATGATCCCTTTGGAAAAAGAAAGAGAACAATGTTGGCGTCGTGATAAAGCAAAATGAGATGTGCGCACTTTAGTAGTGCACGCAGTATGTAATCATTCATTAGCGTGCGCCTTGACACCCACACACACCACATGATTGTAGACCGGCACAAACCCGTTCGGCCCCCGTCCCACCCTTAAATAACGGGAAGTATGTATGAGCTCATGCGGGTTACGCCGACCCGCTAGATTATATAAATCGGCTTGGGTTTAGGTTTGGCTCACACGGTGTGACTAACGCACTCCCAAATATGGCACAGAGAGACTATTGATATAATATTTTTAAAAATTCAGAAATATTAGTGTAATTTTTAAAATTTAAGGGGATTCATGCAATTTTTGAAGAGTTTGCGGGTAAAATTTACAAAAACTCATTTTATATTGATTGAAGCAACTAAATTTATAATCCGAATAATATTGTATGTTGTACAAATCATATTTTATTAATTTTAATATTAAATGAAATATTAGATACATACATTTTTATTTATTATAATAAAAGAAATTTGTATATTAAAAAGTTGTGTGTTGGATCGCCCTGTGGCCCGTCTGAATCATTTTCACGTACGTATATGGGCATGATACTTGACCCAAATTTTGCAGGCGGGCTCCCACACCCAGATATGTGGGCAATGTGGCAAAAAAATTGGCTTCATTTAGTTCCGTTTTTTTTGCATCAAATTTTTTTAATGCTTTGGACTCTATTACAATGTAGTATATGTTCATACTTTTTTCCATCATCTCCGATGGAGTCAAAATTTTACCATTTTTTGACTTTGGGGTGTGATGGAATAAATCAAATTGGATCTCTAAACTGTCTGCGCTTCTTTAATTAATGAAGTAGCAGTTAGTCAAGCAATGCAACTTTCGACGTTGAGCCGGGGGTCTCTTTGGAAACAGCCTCTCTACTTTCGAGTAGGCGTAAGGTCTGCGTACACACACCCTCTGTTAGAGTACATTCCACATCGGAAAATCCAAGAGAAAATAATCGGTATATAAGCTCTAGAGTTGAACTAACTAATCGATTGAATTCAATCTTTTAATGTGGTTCAACCCAAGTGTCTTATTACCCAATCCAGTTATCACTACCCCATCCTAAATTCTATCATGGTATCAGAGCAGATTTTGGTCCACCTCGTTTGTCAAGGTGTCCGTCTAGACGTTCATTCCTAGCGGCCCGTTAGTCTTTAGCCCAGTTGTCCGTATGGAGTATGTACCCAACGGCCTGTGGCCTGTTTAACACGATTGCTCGTCTGGAAGTCCATACCCAGCGACTCGTGATCCTTTAGGTGTTGGCGCTCAAAAAAAAAGTCAAGGGAATGGGAGTTCATTTGCAAGTGGTCAACCGGTTAGATTCAAAATGGCCCGGTTGTCCACTTGAGGGGGAGTGTTAGAGTACATTCCACATCGGAAAATCCAAGAGAAAATAATCGGTATATAAGCTCTAGAGTTGAACTAACTAATTGATTGAATTCAATCTTTTAATGTGGTTCAACCCAAGTGTCTTATTACCCAATCCAGTTATCACTACCCCATCCTAAATTCTATCACCCTCCCCAGACCCTATTCTTGTGGGACCCCAGACCCTATTCTTGTGGGATTTAACTGGGTTGTTGTTGTTGTATATGTTCATACTTTTCTGAACATAATGACGCATAAAGAGACAACGCCTCCACCTTCACTGGGGCTCAAACCTGGGTGAACTTCTCTATGAATCTTGGAAAATGTTATTCCCACCACTCAAGTCAGGGGAGAAGTCCAATTTATTTTTAAATTTATTTTATATATAACTCACGACATTTCTCAAACTTTCTGTTTGAATTTAATTCAATTAGAGTAATGCTAGAATCACACCAAACAGTTCACAAAATTTACAGACTTACCTTTTAACATTTCACTAGAAACAATATACACTAAAATAATAAAATATATTTAAATTTAAAATTTGCAAAAGGTAATTCTGTAAAGATTGCAGATTATTTGTTTGTAACTCTAGCATTTTCGATAATGATTGTTATTTTTAGATATTTATCTAATTAAACTTGGGAGTAATACTAAGGGCATATTTGGGAATAACGTTAAAGATTAGCATTAGCGTTTTGAAAAAGCTATCTACGGCCAGCGTTTAGCATTAGCGTTTTCAAAGTAATCTGCACCGTTGAAATTTTATCCAAAACGTTAACGCTAATCTCTAACGCTATTCTCAAACAGGCTCTAAGTAGGACAACGAGTGAGGAGGCAACCTAGCTAAGGTAGCTCATACAAGGCAAGGTGTGAGGGTGTGACTTGTGAGGTTTGTTGACCTAATGTCGTCAATTAAACAACCTTAATTAGGCCCTTAGGTTTAATTTGAAGCTGCTTTTGGATCCCTAGCCTGCCTAGCTAGCTACTTAATTAAGTCCACTCATGCCAAAGTAATTAAATTACACCTTCCGTCCCAAAATATCTTTTACACTTTATGAAAAATAAAATTTTAAATTTTTAAAATTATTTATTTAAAGATTGATATAGAAATTAATTAAAAATAAAACTTACATATTTAAATTTATGTCAAAAGTTTTACAAAACAAGATGTGACAAAAATATTTTATTTTATCTCATATTCAATCAAAACACATAAATAAACAAAAATTTATGTGATTTTTGAATAGTGGAGAGTGTAATTATATTCGATCAACAACTATTGATATATATTTCTATACTAATAATTAAATAAATTAAATTAAAAAATCTCTAAATATCACATGATTTTGCGTAATGTGACAAACATTTTAGAACAGAGAGAGTAAATATAAATAATTAAAGTGATCAAATTTGGGCTATAAAAAACAAAATGTGAATTTTATTTTGAAATGGAACCCCAACACGATTATCATGCAAAAGAGACTTCCTACTCATGTACGGAGTATTTAAAAAACTAAAAATTAAAGAAGACAGGCTAAAAGAATCAAATTAATAAAGCTTTATAATGATCATCCTTGCCATATTTATGAGGATAAAGCTACTTGTACCCCAAATTTGTGTACCCCATTTGTACACCGCAGGTTTGCACCGACATTTTGTGTCGGTGTAAAACTAATTTTTATTAACGCACCAATACTTTGTGTCCGTGTAAATTTTTGTTAACGCACCAACACTTGTGTCGGTGTAAACCATCAAAATGTTTGTGAATAACTGCGGTGTACAAATGGGGTACAAATTTTGGTGTAAATGTAGCATGGTCCAACCTATTTATGAAGGCTGCTAGCTGTACGGTACCACACTCAAAAGTGAACTATTACAGCCTTGTCAGTTGTCACACCACCGAATATACCCTGTAAATAATGAAGTTTGAATTTCAATTTAACAAAAATCATATTGTATGAACTAATACAAAATAATTTAGTAAATTTATCTTGTTTTAAAATCTGATTTTATTGTATTAATATGCAATATATTTTATAAATAGTTTTTGATCGATATTCGTCAAATTTGTTTTAAAAAAGTCAAAGTGAACAGATATACCGAGACGAGCGAGGAGAATATATAAAGGGTCTGTTTGGGAAGAGCGTTAGAGATTAGCGTTAGCATTTTGGATTAAATTTTAACGGTGCAGATTAATTTAAAAATGTTAACGCTAAACACTGGTCGTAGATAGCCTTTTCAAAACGCTAACGCTAATCACTAAAGCTATTACCAAACAGGCCCAAAGTATATTATGTTGAGGGGAAAATATTGACGTAACATATATATATGCATGCCTTAGGGGAAAGTAAAACGTGAATCACGCTTTGCATAATTGCATGACACTACAGTGCCATTATTAGTTCGAGACGTGGGAAATAAATTAGGGTAAATTTATTTTGACACCAAAGTTTCACACTAAAATTTGATATATATCATGTATTTCATAGTAATTCAAATACAATAATTGTTTGTACTGTCCAGATAATAATTGTTTGTGCATCTCTATATATTATACTTCTTTCGTTCAATAAAACATTTCTTGTTTTGACATTTGGTAAGAAATGCTATAAAATTTTGACTACAATGAAACGATGACAATTGAAATGAGTAGTGATAAAAAATATCAAAATTAGTAGGGCATAGAAGATAGTTGGGATACGTTCAGTTAGATTTAGGAAAAGCTAGGAAGATTGTGCCCAGTTAGACTAAATTGAAATATTTTATAAAACTTTTATGGGACATTAGAAATAAAACTTATGGTGTTAAACTTTGGTATCAAACTTGGTGTTTGTAAGAGTCGGGTTTACGCCCTTAGTTTGTGGTATACTCCCTCCCATCTAAAAAACTTTTCTACGTTCATTTTTCTACTTTCAACTAGGTACTTTCACTTTCTATTAAAAACATCACTTTTACCCTTATTTTTTCATACCATATCCATCACATCAAACTAATTTTCTAATAATCTATTCATCACATCTTATTTTTATCCATCACATCAAGGGTAAAATTAGTAGTCAACTCTTGTTAAAACTAGTAGTCATCTTATTTTTACAACTCTTGTTAAAAATTTATGGTTATCGCATTTTAAAAAGTCTACTTTCCTAATCGAAGTTAAAGCTATATGCACATAAGCACTGACTAAATATGACCACCTTGAACTTGCAGAGAATTCCAACTGTGTGTTGTGAAATGGGAGACAACCACCATTACATATCAATGAGGAGATATACAAAGTTCAAACCAGTATGATTTGCAACATTAGACAAAAACTCTCACATTTGAGAAATATTTGACATTAGATTCAAAATCAATAAGAAACACAGAGATGTCTAACTCTACCTGGTGGTGGAAGGAGCTTTTGCACTCATTGAGGAATGGTAGTTGGTGCTTCTCTCCTTCCTGTAAGAACTGTAAACATCATCATATTGACTTGCCTCGTTTGAATTAGCCTCGTGTCTACCCGAACGATTTGGTTCGGGTTCCAAACTTACAGCACCGAAATCCTGCAGATTGGGAGGGGGAGGGATACACGCCCCTCCTTTACGTGTTGGGGGCTCTCTCTCATAATCATCATACCCATCGGGAGAACCAGATGACGGCTTCATCGGTCCTTCTGAAGGGTTAACCTCATCAATCTCCCTAAAAAATTTTGATACCCTTTCAAGGATTTCAGATTGAGAGACGGTAGAGGGCGGTATAACAGTTGGGATATCCAAAGGGCTTAGAGGGGAGTAAGGCACTCCGCTGCCTATCTGCATTTTTCTAACCATCCCGGGGATAAGACCAGGAGGGAACAAGGGATATGTGGGCAACTTCTCACCCAAATTCGCTGGCAGAGTTGGAGGGAGAACTGAGGGTGGGAGTGAAGAGGGCAAGGGGATAGACCCTGAAAATGGAACAGGAACAGAAGTGGGATGGAAGTGCTGGATAACCACAGAGGGGATGTGAGGAATATGATTGTCTTGATCTGGTAAAATTGGGAGTGGACTTTGCCCATCAGCTTTCCATTCTAATGCATTTTGTTCTGTTCCTCCTGCACAATCAGAAAATTCTATTTTACTTTTTGTTTGAAATTTTGAATACTACCCCCTCCATCTCACAAAGACAGTCCCTTGTTTTTTTCTCCTCGCAGATTATGAAATTAATTATAAGTTGGAACAAAACAATTAATTTTACATGTATGATATTCTCATTTTACCTTTAATAAAGTTAGCACTCTCTATTTTGAAGGGATGATTAAAATAAAGCTAAACTGCGAATAGAACAGTTAAATGCGCGCTCAATGAAGGAACTGAACTATCTTTGTTGGACAAAATGAGTAAAAAGGTACAATGCATTAAACAAATTACTAGTTGAATCCACAAAAATTAACCATTGTTAAATGCTCAATAAAATTACTTGTTACTAGTACTAAACTAAAAAAAGAATCAAGTTCTCGTACATTATAACATAATGATTTTAACTCCAAACAAGAAAATTAGAGGCCCATCAACTACTACATGAAGAAAATCAGAGGCACATTCACCTTCTCTTTTAGCTCATTTTATAATTCTTCTTGCTCACATAATTAGCACAATACAATTACACACACATATTTACACAAGCTTCATGGGGAAGCTCACCCTGGTTTGAATCCTAGAGGAGACTGAGGCATTGGCTCACTATGCATCATTAAGTTGAAAAAATATGAATAGATGCTACATTGTAATCGAGTCAATAGCACTACCAATTTTGAAACAATAGTACCCTAGTTTATACTCAAATTAATGGTGCAATATAGTACAGTAGCCAGGAAAGCATTTTACAGTATATGGAAATGCAAAGATAATGCTAATGGCAAGTGCAGTATATAATTGTTATGTTCAAAATAAAAATATCAATAAGGCAAAATAAAAATTGTGGAATAGAAAAGACTCATTAGAACCTTGCATCTTATACCTAAGATGATCAGAAGTGGATACCTGTAGCAGCAGAGGGATCTGAAGCAAGAGTTGATGAGTCACGTTGAGGACCTGTAAAAGAATTTGAAGGAGGCCCACCGACCATTTCATTTTCAAATGCAAGAATCGTTTCCTGATCAAAAACTTCCTTGGAGCCCCAAAACTGCACAATTTTCTGTAATCGTGACTGGTTTTCTTCTTTATTTTGAGGATTATGGAACACCCTTGCCAACATAGAAGCCAACACGGGTTTAAATGCAAGTGCCTCATTGTCAAGCTCATGAGGATTCAATCTTCGTTGCAAGCTGGATATCACATAAAGTGACACAATTGAAAACCTTAACAATCAGATTCCAGTATCCAACTAGGGTAGCTATATTTGGATGCCAGTGGAATGAGATAATGGGAATAAACATTTAAGGCAAAGTAACAGACTAGAATTTAAGGTTCTAAACAAGGAGAAAAAAATATCAACATGTCTGTTATAAATACTAACTTTCCATACTCAGTATAATACTACAAGTCTACAACCAAAGGAAAAAGTGTAGCAATAAATTTAGAGAAAATGCACCTCATCAAGGGTAGCAAGGAATTTAGCTATGATCCTTAAATGTCTCATACTAACAATCTGTAAGCTAAAATCTTGTACAGAACAACCTATCTAGTGCAGTCTCAGAAGTGGCAGACCATACACTACCTGAAAAAGTAGATAGACTATTTCCAGACCCCCCC